TGTGAGAGAGAGAGAGAGAGAGAGTACTTGTTTGTGTTTGTGTGCATGAGTGTGTATGTGCGTTTGTGTGAAATTGTGTGTGTTGGTACATTTTGTCCCTGTGTTTTTGTGTGTGTACTTTCCTGTTTGTAAGTAAATGACTTTGTGTGTGTTTGTGTGTGTGTATAAGTGTGTATGTGCGCTCATGCGTATTTGTATGTGTATGTAGGTGTGTGTCTGTGTGTGCTTATGAGGATTTTTTAGATAAACAAATTGGGTGAACGTTTTCCCCTGGGAGTGAAAGAGAGAGAGAATGAGAGAGAGAATGAGAGAGAGAATGAGAGAGAGAGAGACAGACAGACAGACAGACAGACAGACAGACAGACAGACAGACAGACAGACAGACAGACAGACAAAGAGACAGAGAGAGAGGGAGAGAGAAGGGGGTTGCTTTGTTTACGATCTTCGTTTCAGTTACCATAATATTTTTATTTTTATGAAGATATGCGAGCTCTTCCTTTAAGTTTTCATTTTTGGGAGAACTGAAACTGCGACTGACGTGAAAGAATTGGGGAATTTACTGCAACATAAATTTACAGACATCCCATTGCTCGTAATTAGTCTGTTTGTGTGGGTGTAGGTGAGTGTGTATTTTGATCCCCTCCCTCCTCATCCCCCTCCCTTCTCTCTCTTTCTCTCTCTCTCTCTTTCTCTCTCTCTCTATCTATCTATCTGTCTGTCTCTCTCTCTATCTCTGTCTCTCTCCCTCCCCCCTCCCTTTCTCTCGCTCTAGCTCTCTCTCTCTCTCTCTTTCTCTCTCTATCTTGCTCTGTGTCCTTGCGTGTGAGTATGTGTGTATCTATGTATAATGAGTGTGTTTGTGTGTGTGTGTGTGTGTGTGTGTGTGTGTGTGCGTGCGACTTCATATATAGAAATGAGTTCACCAATTACTTTAATATCAGTGCAGGAATACATTCATGAACGAAGCAATGAATGGATGAGTAGAAAGTAAAGGAATTCATATGCGGTTACCCTCCATGTTATGTCAACTACTTTTTCCTTTGGTTCTTATTATTGCCGTAGGTTCATTGTTGTGAACAAGGCTAATCTGATAATGTATAAGAGTAGACCAAAGATTCTAGATTGTTATTTGCTTTTCTCACGGTTTTAATCACTGCCATCCTTTGTTTTAGAATGTGTGTTTTGAAGAGCTTCTCATAATGTAACAAATATCTGTGCACTTTGATCTTTGTCGCTTTCATGATTTTTTAGCAAATAAATATGTCACTTTTTAATACAGAAATATCGTAACCATTTCGTTTAATCTTGCCTTGTCGTGTGTGCTTTTATGTTTATAGAAGATTTCGCTTTGTTTTTATTTTATTTATACACACTCACACGTGCACGCATACGCACACGCACACGCCCACAAACACACACACATACATACATACATACATACATACATTCGTGTACGTACATACGTACGTACGTATGTACGTACATACATACATACGTACATACATACATACA